GGGCAGGGAGGCTGGGCTGGGGCCGGGAGCTCTCGGCAGCTCAGTTGTTGAGTTCGTTAAGGATGACCCGCAGCTCGTTAGTGAGAACACGGTTTCTCTCGGCCTCCTGCCGGGAGCGCTCTAGAGAAAATGGAGATGTCCATGCAGCAGAGGGAAAAGAGAGAGAGAAAGGCGAGTTAGCGAAAAGAGACAGCGTTCCCCAAAGCCCTCGCTGGAAATCCCGCAGCCACCCAGCCAGCAGCGGGGACGAGCTGGATGGGCAGGAGGAGGCAGCCGGTCCCAGGGCAGGGACTGGGTTGTGGGTCCATCAATTTGGGAACTGGGTTCTGGGGCAGGTGCTGAGGAAGGAGGAGGAGGAGGATGATCAGGAACCCATTTAGGGATCGCTGCTGAAGGGTAGGGTTAGCCCCTTTGTCCGGGGAGGGCGATGCAGGAGAGATGCCAGGGCCGAGACCACTGCTTGCAGGCAGTGTCTGGCAGTGGGGATGGGGAATGGACAGGACCAGGTCTAACCCTGCTGTTTCAGGCCAAAAGAGTCATGGAGAAGATGGCACGAGATGAGGAAAGCTGTGCACGAGAGCCAGGGGGGTGGCAGGGGTCGTTCCTGGGGTCGAGGCACAAAGGGCCCCGTCCTGCTCAGCCTGGCAGCGCAGGAGCTGCTTGGGGCTCAGCCGAGGGTCCCGAGAGTCCTGCAGCCACCTCCTACCACCCCACTGCTGGCACCCGTGTGAGACAGGCAGGAGGGGAGGGACAGAGCGGCATGAAGAAAATAAAGAAGAAACCAAGGAAAGAAAACGCTTTATTGAGACCAACTCAGTAACCCAGAGGGACAGAACATAAAAGAAAAGTCATGAAATGCAAACTGAAGAGCGATGTGCAACGGACAGAAGGGAAGCAGGGGTGAGGAAGGAGCCGGGGGTCTGGGGGCTGCCTGCCTGCTTCCCCCTCCATCCCCCGGGCCCGAGCTTTGGCGGTGGAGGTGCTGCTTCCCCCGTGAGGGTCCTCCCAACCCTGGGCCCAGCAAACAGCACCAGGGGCTTTGCTGGGGGGTATATGGGGGGCAGGTGGTCCCCCCCAGCGCCGGAGCTGCGGGGCTGCCGGGGCTTGT